GTAAATATTGATCAAAACACTCCTCTCATCAGAATTTTCTGCGACGTGACGCAGGCCTTCGATTATGTCCGCCATGACATTTTGATGGAAAAGTTGGAAGCTTACGGTAGTCGCGGTAACGTTCTCAGTCTATTAAAATCAGATATAAGTGGCAGCAAACAATACACAGAAATATCTACAATAAACAAACTCACAAAATTTTAAGAAATATATAAATCATCGGAACGTGTCGTCAGATACGGTGTGCCTCAGGGTAGTGTCTTGGGCCCTCTGTTATTCATTACAAATATTAATGACTTATTCAAAGGCCAAACCAATGTATGACACTATTTGCCGATGACAGCACCATTAGGATACCATGTAAACATAAAGAAACTTAAAATAGTAACATAAATAATTCTCTAAAATCAATGATACAATGAAATTTCTTGAATTTATTTTTAAATATAGCAAACAATAACAATTTAAAGATCAATCTAGAGAAAACAAAAATTATGCACTATACTCAAATCTACTGTATAGGGATGTTATTTAAAATTTTAGTATCATAGTTATGTTTACTAATCGATAATAATAATATGTTCTAGTTATTAAAAAAAAAAAATTACATTGGTCTACTTTTAAAACCGTAACAACCCTGAAATAAAAAAAAAATTAGAAACACACAAGTGGCCGGTTCCGATTCTCTAAGCCTTGGTCTACCAAAGAATGTATATTTTTTCGTCCTAAAGTATTATAAATCGCAATGTGTACAGGATAAAGTCTTTTGTTCATTACTGTACCCATGTTTGAAAATACAATAGGTTTTTTTAAGGCGTCGCTAAAATAATAACAGATTACAAAACAGACGGACAGCGACGCGGCTTCATCTAGTTTTAATGTACTAATCATCATAGAAGACGTCACAGCCGCTTCGCTGTTTGCGCCCGGCATTTGTCAATTTCAATGATGTCTGCCTGAAACTAGTGGACGTTGCGTCGTGCGACTGGGTCTGCTATTCAGGTAGATTTCTCCATCTTTGTACAGGGATGCTCAACCTTGTAATGGATTTTGTTACGTAAAAATAAGTTTTCCACAATATGTATGTCGACGTTATATTTTAGGTATTTGAAAAAACTTTGAACGTTCTTTCGCGATACAAAGAAACAGGCTATTTTATATCAGTACAAAGAAATCTAATAAAATATTAGCCTGGTCGGTATTATATAATAATAAATTTTAAAAAATCAGACAAAAATGTGTTAGTAACAATAATCTTACAACTTTGTTCGTTCTAAATTACAACAAAAACAAATTACATATATCCTAGCAAAAATGTTGACAACCTCAGGTTGGGTTAGGAAAGGCGGTGCAGATGCGACCTGCAAACCTATTGTTTCCATACATTACCGCACAAAAAATCACGAGCCCTTTTTTATAATGTACAAAGAGCGTTACCTGTGCACAGTTCAGAGATAAGGAAACCTTCATTTGTTCGAGTTTTCAATGCTTTCAGTTGCAAACTGGACTTTGGAAGTACACAAATATAATGTACTATTTAGAGAGGCAGGTAAAGTTTTATTGTTTTACTTTTGTTTCTTTGTTATAAGGGTTATTGAAAATATGACTATTCATGTAGAAATAATAAATTTTGGAGAAAGAAATCCCGAAGAAAAAAAAAACAATGGCTCTAAGTACAATTCTTCTTATGCCAAAGCCTATGCAAACTTAATACTTATAACTAACGTGACGAACAAAGAGTGGCTTTTGGTTCTGTCGCCGTGGTGTTTTCATATACCGATGTACCCTAGAGATGATCGCTATTGATTTTCTAAAATAAGTCATCTCTTTATTTTTAATATTTCTAAACCTTTGATTTGATTTGGGCGATGTTTATTAATCCCATTGCCTAGGGATCAAAATCTTTAGGCATTGGTATTTTTAAAAACAGATTTCGATCTCTAAATCTCGTTCTCAATTGGACAAGGACAATTAGCTGGTAAAGTAGCAGAACTAAACAATATCTGAAAAAAAATATGGTTCTAGAATAGTTTCTCTCAAATAAATAAAGATCGTATCTTTTTGTAATGAACGTTTTCGCGGTATCGATGTAGCATTTCTGTTCACATCTAAGAAAGATATCATCTAATAAAACCATAAGATTTATTACCGTTCAGAATAGCTATATAGTTCAAGTTGACAGAATTTTTCTGCCCGTCGAGATTATCGCAAATCATAATTTCCACCTAAAATATATGAGCGTGAGGCTTTAGAATATTCTTCGTGCTATAAAGATGATACCGATTGAAAGAAATTCTTACAGGCCTGTTCATATAAGCTGGGTAGTCAGACCTTCCAAACAGAAGTAAATACGAGACCTCATGACGGCTATCGGAGTGAGGATTCTCTACCATGATTGCGGCCATAGTACGGCGCGAGAGCGCATGGAACTAAACCACCTCCTTCTGCAGCAAGTTATGCTAGCGAATTAGAGGGCGGCTTAGAAATATATCGGTTCGCCAGGGCCGGGAACAGGCCAGTTAACTTAGATGGCTCAGGCGCCGGAGGTCGCTGAACGACGTCCAGCGTCTCCATTAGCGCAGGCATGAGTGTGACAGATGAGACCATCTGTACAAGCAGGCCGGGGTGGCAGTGCGACGCGGTCTGGAGCGCACGCGCCCTATAGAATCAGGAATTGAACACCGTGGTCCCCACACACGAGGGGGCTATCTGTAAGGCCCAGCGCCAGATTTCCTTTTAGGTTACATCCGGTTCCCCGGTTACTGGCACCCGAAACGGCGCGCGTGTCCGGTCGTCCGGTGAGGAATATTTTAGTTGATTTCCGCACGAAAAAAAGGAGCAAATACAACAATACCTACCTATTAAAGTTACGACAAAAACTACGCTTACACTTAGCCCCGAGAAGAAACGGTAATATGTTTTGCGAACGCGCGAAGCGGAAATTAAGCAACAAGAGATTTTTTCCGTTATAGGACCAAAGTAATTATATTACTAAAGTTGTTTATCTTCATTTAGCAATAAATGTATACAAACTATACTTAAATCTTTAGCTCTTTAGCTTAGCATTCTTTTCCTTTTTATTTTTGCCAGTTAAATAGGTACCTCAGCCCATGCCAAAGGTGATATCTAATTAAATGCGTTAGGTACCATCGTGAACACTGTATAACTGCCGAACCATATTTCAGCTATTTTCACAACAACATATAAATATAAAATTCAGAACATTTTGTCTTAAAAATAACAATAGGCTTTTGTCCCACAGTACGTTCTACTAAACAATCAAATGAATATCACTAACGTATCAAGTTTTAGGTCTCTAATAGAACACTTCCCTTTTCATTGTGATGTTTAAAGACACAATTATCTGTTCTTATCTCTTCTGTTCATCCTAATTAACGACACTGGGAAGTGATCACTCGAAACGATGAAGCCGCCTATAATGTGTTTACTTAATACATAGAAGAAATTCGTATTTGTTTAATTTGATACTATAAAATATGAGAAATGTGTTGTTGATGTAATAAAAAATACACACATGTCTTCATCTAGGTACTATTTGACAATTGCTAACTAAATACAATTTCAAACATAAATACTCGCAAACTCGAAGAAATGTAATGTTTACAAAGTGGTTTGTTATAATTGGACGCAAGAAAAGTTTTCTTAGAATGTTACAAATGTGAAATTTATTGTTTTAATAAAATTATCTCGCTTTGTTCTAAAATCAGAAATTTCTGAGAATTCGATCGTTATGTTATTGAATGAATTATCAGCGGGTTCGCCCTTCGCGGAACGAAATGGCAGTAAGGGAAAGCATCGATTTTCGGCACCCTACGCTAGGGAACGCGGGGGCGCGACAAGATGGCCGACTGGGGTCTCACCCGGACCTGCCTCACGCGCATTCGTCTACCAAGGTCACAAGCGCATGTGTTACCACCGCTGCGCCGCCCAAAATACGAAATCTCGATAGTAGGAAATAGTTTCTGTCCTACTCATTTCTATGATATCTAGCTGGTGTCCCTTTCCAACGTCCGTCCTTTGCTATTGCATTGTGCTTTCGATAATGATACATCCATTTAGGGTTGATAACATTAGTTACTGATGTTGCTGTTTTAGTTTAGTAATTTAACGTTGAATATCGTCTCATATGCTAAAGGAGTATGTGATATAGATAGCTTAAACGACTGTTATCGCCATTGATATCGCTTTGTTACGTCCAAAACTATAAAAAATGACACTGTAATGTCTTAATAATGACAATTCCTCTTTAACATCATCTTTGCTCTTTGCCAACCCTAATGCTCACAGCAAACTTCCTTATCTAAATTATGGAAAATTTTGGAATGTGACCGAGTCTCTGTCGCACCCTCGTCTAAAACGTATTGCTTTCTCTGTCACGCTCTACCTACTATCGCAAGGGGTAGTGGAAGGGACTGACAAAAGATTTTGGGATACATTTTTTTGCAAACTGCAGCTCACGAAAAGATTCACTGCAACCATCAGTCGGGTTCCGACATCAGTGGGACAAGTAACAACGTCCACTTTGTTATAATTTCATATCTTTATTTTGTGTTTTGAAGTTGTTTTGTTTAGTAGTAGTGACAGCTAGTAGTGTTTACATCTATTGTAGTTTACAATCATGTCGGGGCATGTAAGTAAAACCTTCAGTCAAATTTAGTGATTAACGTTTTTCGAAAGAAGCTTTTAATTTTTTTTAATGTTTTTTTTTACAATATAGCCGTTCTTACATGTGGTTCAAATATAGTTCGAATACAGCTTAAAGAGGGGTCTTGTCTTAGGTCGGTGGTATAATAAAAAAGTTACATGAAATCAGGTCTAAATTAACTCGTAGTATTGTTGTATGTGTTATTTATTTGAAACTTTTCTATCAAAATCAATATTGTAATATAATATTTATACTATATGTCTCATAGAGCTTTACAAAAATAATTTCGCGTTTGTTTGTTACAGATCTAATGATCTAGCTGTCACATTATAGAATGACATCGTATTCTAATCTTTCTCAGTCGCGGAAGTCGAGCCAACCATCGACATCATCACCTGCCGCAGTAACATCGAATCGTAGTGTCAGCGACCCGGAGGACCCGTACGCTGTGACGCACATCATATGTAATCTCCTCGAGAACATGAACAGACCAACAAACAACCTCCAACCCGGAACATCTTCGTCTTCGACTATGCCATACGACATCTGGGCACCGTCGCCGAATCCTCTTGGACCCATAGGTCGTGAGTACAGTCATTCATCTAATAACAATCAGCTTCAATCCAAAGAAGATAATTCGAGTGGTTCGCCGGGAACTTCCTCGTCTGTATCTATCACATGTTTTCGCTGCGAGGAGCGCACACCAACTACGCGTTGCCTCGAGTGTAATGATTTATTTTGTTACGAGTGCTGTCACAAAGTAACATCAGACTGCCAACTGAGAGAGCACACGCTGCTTCCCATACACCAAATGTCACCTATTGGAGTCAGACCTAACTCAGTGGGCATGGAGAAGGAAATTATATATTGCGATACACATGGAGAACCTGTAAGGTATTATTGTGAGGCATGTGTTTCTTTCATTTGTCAGGAATGTACAATGTGGGTGCACAAAGATCACACACACTTACCTATCAAAGGTGCCCTTGACGTATGTCGCATAGGCATTTATAGAGCGATAGAAGACACAAAAATGGGCACCAAAGCAATAAAAACTGCCATCGATCGTGCTGTGGTTTTGACGAAAGCATATGAAAAGGAAACTGCAGAGGCCAGCATTAAAATACGGAAGGCAATGCGGTGTTTTACGCAAGCTATAGAGGATCGTGAAAAATATTTACTGGAGAAAGTGGAAAAAATGCGTCAAGCCAAGATGAACGAGTTGCAAGATCACATGCACACACTTAGGGGTATATTAGCAGGTTTAGCTCATACAAATGAAAATCTAGTACGTAGTATGGACGCTGAAGGAATTGAGTTGTTTGTGGCAAAAGAAAAGGGAAGGGCTCAAGTAGATTACTTTTCATGCATGTTTAAAAACATGTATATAACAGACGAAAGGATCGTTTTTGTACCTCCGAATTATGATTTACTCGATCAGTTGAAACGACAGTGTGATGTTCAATCAGGTTCTGCAATACATGGTGTATCGCCGCGCCAAGCTTTGTTGGCACTACAATCAGCGCAGTCATACCCCCCCATACATTACAATGTTTCTTACGCAGGCAGTCAGCGTTCTCAAGTCTCAGTTCAAGAATACGTAAACTCGCAGTCTCGGCCCATTGATAACCACGATCATTGTGTAACATCTAGTGAATCCATGGAGCATACTACTCGTGGTGTCGGTCAAGCGATAGCAGGGCATTGGGCGCCGATCGCAGTGAGGCCGACGAGAAGCCCTGTTCCGGGTGTCCCAATGTATTCTTTTGCCCGCGAAGGCCAAGAACAAGGACAAGTTTCAAGACCTTGGGGCCTTTGTATAGATAAAGAAGGAAACTATATAGTTGCAGATAGAAGAAACAATCGAATCCAAATATTTACTAGGAGGGGTGACTTTAAACTTATGTTTGGATGCAAAGGCACAGGACCTGGAGAATTTGACCTTCCAGCTGGAATTACAACAGACATCTTTGGCCGAATCATAGTTATAGACAAAGATAATCACAGGGTTCAAATTTTCACAGCTATGGGTAACTTTTTGCTTAAGTTTGGTACATTTGGCAAAGATTGCGGGCAATTCCAGTATCCGTGGGATGTAGCCGTCAACACACTAGGTAATATCGTCGTGACCGATACCCGTAATCACCGCATTCAGCTTTTCACCAGTGATGGAACATACATAACAAAGTTTGTATTTGAGGGTGCTAATCCTTCCAAAATGCTCAAAGGACCTACGACTCCTAGAGGAGTGTGTTTCACAACATCCGGCAATATAATTGTGTCGGACTTTGAAAACCATCGACTGTTAATGGTGGACCCAACTTTGTCCAAAGTTTTGCATTGTGTTGGTCGCGAAGGTTCTGGAATTGGAGAGCTGAATCGCCCTTCAGGAATAGTGACTGACGATGATGGACGCATTATAGTGGCTGACTCTAAGAATCACCGTGTGCTAGTGTTTACATCCGAACTTCGTATATTGTTTGCGGTAGACTTGAAGAGTCCAGGGCTCGATGACAAAGACCGGCCAAGCGACGTGGCACTCACGCCAGAAGGTTTTCTTGTAGTGCTCTTTGAGACACTGCCTGACACCGCCCGTGACATTGCATCCCACGGCAAGCAATACATTAAAATATATTAATGTAATACTAAGGAAGTAATTCGCTCGCGGACCTAAGGTCTGTTGTATTTTATTTTATTTTATTTTGTGATTAATTTGATAATGTGCCAATCTTTTTATATACGTTTGAAAAGATTCAATCGAGCATAGCTTATCCGGAGAACTGTCGGCGACGTTCTCCACTCCTATTTGTTACCAATAACATTTTGATTTTGTTTTCGTAATTGACTAGTCTCTAAGGACCAAACTTTGCTTGCAGTGTTATTTACGATTAATCTTAGCCGTCAATAGTAACTGTAGAACAACACGAAACTCATAGACGTTGCACTAATATTTAATATCGATTACTTATAATATAATATACTAACTGGTCCGTTCGCCGCAAGTATATTAAAAAAAAAAACAGTCAGTACGTAGAGCATCACAATGTGATGTATAAGATGTTTTTATGTGAAGTAAACTAATGGATGGATAACTTGTAAAGTATTTTCTCCAAAATGTTAGATTTTTGCGTTTTTTAAATTGATTAATTATGCAGACGGTGATATATATTTTTATGATAAGTTATTTTGCAGAATCTTTTAATAGCAAATGATATTTATTATTGTAATAAGCAGGCACAATGGCCGGTTATAACCGCGCCTGGCTAGTATACGTTCATATTAATTGACTTCTTAATGCTCGAGAGTTTCTGTTTTATTCGCGGCGTGATACTGTATGGGATGTCATTGCGTATGGATGTGCAAAAAACCAATGCAATAAAACTTTGAGACTGACTTTAGAAGACTGTCTTAAAGATGTTGATGTTGCGGCGCACGCGCCGTCCGTCGGTGGCGGTGCGGCAGCGGTTCGCAGTCTTCTCACGCGATTCTAACCAAATTTTAGTATTATTGTAACACTTCGGCAAATATGAACGAACGTATTTTATTCTGGAATCTGGTAAATTTCGTCGTATTTGCTTGAAACGTGGTTATTTTTTTTCAAACGTAAAATTTAAAGGTTTTTTTTTTATAATTTTTAATTAGTGTCGCAAATTTTTGATTACCGACCTGATCTTATTTATAATGCGGTGAGTGCGTAACGTGGCGTTGTATCATCGTAATCTTCTATAAATGGTTTAAGTAAGCCAGTTAACACGACTTGTAGTAAATCCAAGTATACATAAAGAGCCTTAACACACCTTAACGTTAAGAAACTAACTTGGCTCAAACTAAAGCGCGCTTTGTATCGTTAAGGTGGCGGAAGGTCTAATAAATTGTAGGTGTGAGTGCTTGCCTCCCACATAACTCCACGCCAATTATATTATCAACTAGTTAATTGAAAGACTTTCTTCTACCTAAATTAAGGCAAATATTCGATTAGTTATCGCGTGGTCAAATACGATTTCGTTTTAGTTCAAATATATTTAGCAAAATTCTTTTACTTTTTGTTGTGAAAAAATTACACTATTAAACTATAAATTTTAAAGTGTATGTTATAGATATAAAATACCATGTGTTCAGTCAATATGTGTTCACTTGGATATAATTATCAGGTAGATAAATAATAATTTAAAGTTAAGTTTAGTTGCATGCGAGACGTTGTGTAAATCTACACTCTTAGTATCATTATATTTAGATTTGTGTGCAGTGCTCCCGCCATGGTTTTCAAAGTTGCATTTATAGAATATCGTATATCTTCTTAATGCCAAGCCTCAAAAACATTGTTTGCGGTTGATATAGTTAATCATGTTTCAGCTTCGATCTAGCACTGTTCTGAAGCAATGTAGTTAGAGGATTGGATGTATCAGAAGTTCTAAAAACCATGAGTATAATATACGCTAAATCTTATATTGTGTAATATCTAATATTTTTAGCTAGGTAGGGGAAAAGATGTGTTAACAATTAAATCACGCTGCTATTTGAAGCCCTCGTTACATTGAGGAGTAGGCATACCTTGAATATGTACCATTCCTTGAAAGTGTTACCTTTTACTAATAGCCTCAAATTAACATCGCGGCTTTTATACTTAAGAATTTGCCGTAAGCTAAATATCTCACGCTTAAATATTAACATTAGTATGGCGTCTCTCAGTGCATACATAGGATTAATGAATTCTTTATGACTAGAATTTGCAGACCCTTTTTTGCATTCATTGGTAGTCGGTACATATATAAAGTCATTTACAACCTTAGATTTAGTAGTGTGTGAATAAGTAGCTTTGTCCGGCGTTCATAACGTTAGATTGTATCGTGATCTTTTCCTCCACTGAGCACTAGAATTACATATTATATAATTCTACAGCTTGTAAGACGTCGGGAACTAGAAGTAACTAAACTTATAATAAATAAAATAAGCTCCTAATAAATGAAAAGGGTCTCCATGAACAAATTGATACAACATTTCGAAGCATTCTCCTTTAATATTCAATTTAATTTAGCAGTTTGGTGGAGTCCAACCAAGTGCTCACAAACGCTCGTTTGTGTTGCAGGCAGCTTCGGACTCGTAATTTTATTATCAGTTTAAATATGGGCGCTTTCTTATATTTTTATGGTTCCGTTTTGTAACAAGCACAGAATTTCAGAAGACACAGAATTTGTTCTGAGACCCTTGTAATCACTTCGCGGTAAGATTTAGGTCGTGTATTGCGTAATCAACACTAAATTTTCTCGATAAACTAAAGCGTAGTTTATAGGTAATCAAACTCTTAGATATAAGTTTTCAACTTTGTACTTAGGTTTAAATCGGTATAAGCGTATTATTACAGGAATCACTGTACTCTTCAAACAAAAATTTTCTAGTTACGGAGTGAACAGTAGACATAGTTAAGGTACTGATTATTATATATAACGTTGACTGGAATATGAGTCTGAAATTAATTACTTAAGATGGGAAAATTATTGTTTGAAGTCAATCACATGTAGCACATGAAATGAATAGACAAAAATGATAAGTAGCTTTTTTTTATTCGTGGTTTTAGAATGTATGCCATGGTACGGTTTTTGCACATTACATAGTCAGTCCTTTTAAGAAATGCACTCCTTGTGGTATTGTGTAAAAATACGTGCTCGCCAGAACCCGGAAAAATCTGGCGTAGTAAGCATTTTTCTCTAAATATCGTACGCGTGTGTTGTATTATCTCTATACATATAATTGTATTGATACAATGCTTCATCTCTTACATTTTAGAAAATAATATAAATTAATGAAATAGGTATGTATTCTTAATATAAGATAAAAACCAAAACCGTTTAAACAGGAGGAAACCGTACCAAATGTGTGTATCATTAGTAGATTTGTATTGCGTCTCCACGGTGTTGACGAATTTCAAGTATGAAATAATATTTCAATATTTATGATTTTCAGTCAATAAGTAACTTAATTAATTTTACCTTGTTTCAGTGCCATTGTTAAAGTATTACGTTATTTTAAAAATAATGTGTTGCATGCATGAAATGCATTTTTATTATAATTATGCTTTCATATTTCAACTTCAGTTCAGCGTACGATATGGTTTTTTTCGTTTAGTCACATAAAGTCCACTGAATCAAAGTGTCCACTGTATCAAAACATCCATTTATCAAAATGACCATTTTACCAAATGGTCCATTTATCCAAATGTCCACTTACCAAATAGTCAACCTTGACACAATGTCCACTATAAAATAATATCAAAACTGGACATGAAAATCTTTTTTTTTTCCTCTTTTTAAGGTGGACATAAAGGAATGTGAACCTTGTGAAAGTGTGGACCTTATGATACGTGGACATTATAATATCGTGGACTTTATGATATGTGGACCTTGTGATACCTCAGACCTTATGATACTATGGACCTGAACGAAAAAAAAACCTTTAGTCACATAAAGTCCACTGAATCAAATTGTCCATTGTATCAAAATGTCCTCAGTATCAAAATGTCGACTTTAAAACGTCCATTTATCAAAATGTCCATTTTACCAAATGATCTATATATCAAAATGTCCACTAACCAAATAGTCAACCTTAACACAATGTCCACTATAAAATAATATCAAAACTGGTTTTTTTTTTTTCTTAAGGTGGACATAAAGGATTGTGATCCTTGTGATATTACATACATGATACGTGGACATAATAATATGTGGCCCTTTTAATACCTTAGACCTTATGATACCATGGACCTTTTGATACTGAGGACATTTTGATACAGTGGACACTTTGATTCGGTGGACTTTATGTGACTAAAGGTTTTATTTCGTTTAGTCACACAAAGTCCACTGAATCGAAGTGTCCCCTGTATCAAAACGTCCATTTATCAAAATGTCCATTTTACCAAATGGTCCATTTATCAAACTGTCCACTTATCAAATAGTCAACCTTGTCACAATGTCCACCATAAAATTATATCTAGGACTGAGAACTGGAAATAAAATATTTTTTCCTCTTTTTAAGGTAGACATAAAGGAATTTGAACCTTGTGATAGTGTGGACTTTATGATATGTGGATATAATAATGTCGTAGACTTTATGATATGTGGCCCTTATGAACCTTAGACCTATTGATACAGTGGACACTTTGACTAAACTTTGACTTTATGTGACTAAAGGGTTTATTTTTTAACCAACAACGAATCTCATAATATTAATAAAAACAGATTCTACTGTCGTTTGAAATAAAAACGGATTTGCATAGCAAATTTTTACCATTCTTAGAATGCTATTGATAAATCGTGAAAAACATAGAATGGCCCATTTTGTGGTCTCTGTATTTACAGGGAAGTCAAATGGACAGTTCTCGACTGTCCGATGCGGTTATGAGCACGGTACCTAAACTGAAAAATGCCATCGCAGCAATTATACCCATCACGCCAATTGACTGTCGACGACTGTCAATGCCTAAACTGTGTTATTGCCTGGATGTTATTTTGTCTTCAAATTGAAATGCCTAAACAGCACTACGTTTCTCCAATGCCTAATACGTAGATACGACGCTTTTGAGCGTCAAACTTGTTATGACTACTTAGGTACTGTCTGAAAATAATAAAACTTTCGTTGTTCAAC